GAGAAGGAGCTGGGCGAGAATCATCCCGACACGTTGTCAAGCGTGAGCAATCTGGCGTTGGTGCTGCAGGATCGAGGGAAGTACGAGGAGGCAGAGACGATGAATCGACGAGCACTGGCGGGCTATGAGAAGGAGCTCGGGGTGGATCATCCCAACACGTTAACGAGCGTCTACTGTCTCGCCTATCTCCTTGATGTCAAGGGTGATTTCCAGCAGGCTTTGGATCTCTATCGGCGTGCCGTGTCAGGCTACGATAGAGTCCTAGGAGCACATCATCCCACTACAGCGGCTTGTCGAGTACATCTATCGTCGCTGTTGAAGAGGATGGAGCAGTGATCTCTTCCGTGATGAGTAGCCAGCCTTCTAATTCGAGATTTTTCGAAGGAACGACAGATTAAGTTAGAGCTCTTTGCTACACTATACACATCCGCAGATCCGTGACGGAATTTTTCTTGCCGCTTCTAGATTGACGCTGCATCATGCACATCTGCTTGCTCGCCACGATTTACGAAGGCTTGTATCGTTGTGTATTGAAGAATACCGGGGTGCAAGGTATTCGTTGCTGATTCGTGGGTAAAGTGGAGCAGACCATTCCCGATCTAGACATCTCTGACCCGCAGCTAAGCGTGGTTCGAGTTGGAGAAGTCCAATATATGTTTGCACGGGGGTAGGCAGGTTTCGGGAAGATCTGTAAACTAAGTTATGTATAACTTATATTTACCAACTGGCCTGACCGGAGGCCGCATGCGAACCCGTGACGACTGATACCAAAGAGGCAGGTGTGCCGACTACGGTCGCGACCCTCCCACCTGCAAGGCTGAGCCTCGAAAGGAGGCGGCCTCGTCGTGCTCTATGTGATCTGCGAGTGTCTGCGGTGACGCTATGTATCCTGTATCTCTGCTACTGGTGGTACTTCTTCGGGATGCACATTCAATGTATCTCGGTAGCTCTCATTCCTTCCGTCGGTGTTGCCTCTGCAGTAGCGGCACAAAAGCTGGTACACTCAAATATGTCAGGGGTGCTCACGGAAATGTGCCGTGCTAGAGGGAGACACCAGAAAGCAAAACTCCAGAAGCAGTGAGCCACGTTCTTTCAAATCCAAAATGGCGAAGCCACTGAACTTGTACCGAAAACGGTTGGAGAATCCAAAAGGAGTGATCAGGAAATGTCACTCACGGTTGGTGAAGAGGGCTCGACCGGCTGAAGAAAGGTCGTATAGTTCGGTAATGCGCCGAAGTGGGCTGGGCAAGTCTCCAAGTCGCGATTGTTGGGCAATGTCACTGCCATATAGTACAGACGGTTCGACCGGCAGTGGAGGGCCCGTATAGATTGACAAGGCGCGAGTGTAGTATGAGATAGGGCGGAGATTTGAAGACTGTATAGGTCTCGGAGTAACCTCCGTCAATAAGGAGCTTTGCTGTCCGTGGGCGCCTTTGGGTTTCAGAGGCCATTCTGCATGACCATCGTTTCCCGATGTCGCCCGATCCAGCTCTGCTAGACTTGGAAGGTATTTTGGCTTCTTGTGATACTCGTCGGAGTGGCTCAGACACTTGTTAGGGAGAAAATGGCTTGATATCCAACCATGGCTCTCGGAATGTTGGGCCAGTCCAAGCATAGTCATGTCCATCATGCCGAGATCCCGTCCCATGGGGGTCATCGTGGTAGGCTGGGATTTCATCCATTGAGGACCTGAATCGTATCCTTCACAAGGCAACTTCCGACGAACACAATTAATACCTGACAGCATGTGAGTAGATGAACCAGACTTGTGATGGAGCCTTATTATACTAGAGGAGCAGGTAATTACTCACATGACGGGCGATGTTCGTCGCATTTCACTCTTCTTCTGCGACAGGAGAGGCAGCCGGTTGTGGTGCGAGTGAACCACTTTTTCCTTCTCACCTTATCGTGCGAGATGCTTGCATGATGTACAGACACATCGCTAACCACAGACGCTGGGTCGATCCTCTCCGTATGGTTGATCTCATGAATGTCTGATTGGCTCGAGGGCGTAACCTCTTCGTTCAACAGCCCCTGAGACGTCTCAAGAACCTCGAGTTGAGGGATGATTTCCAAAGTATGTTGATGT